GGGGGGTTGGGGACGCCCGGCCCTGTGGCTGGCGAAGTACCACATGCAACTGGGGCCGGATGGCTGTGGCCGCAAGGCTGCGTGCCGGATGGGTCGCGCTGCGGGGGCCGGCCCGGCGCCGCGGAGCGCGGCGGAGCCTGCAGGCCGGGGAGGGGACGTCTGGTGAGTGGTGGGCGCCTTCTAATCGTGAGGGTCGCAGCTTGGCTGAGGCCGGCGCATCCGCGCTGCCCTGAGGCACGTCTGCGGCGCCAGCGGCGGCCCTCACGGTGTCCAAACCCCCGCGCCCCGCTCGCCCCCTGCCCGCCGCGCCGCGCCGCGCGGCCCCAGGTGGTGTGTAAGGCGCGCAGCCCCCTGCCCCTATACCGCGGGCTCACAGGTGACACGGGTGACAATGGTGACGCGCTCACCCGCACAAAACGGGGCCGCCACAAGGCTCTGATTGCGGCCGTTGGTGCGCCCGCCCGCCTTGCAAACAAGGCACGAGCCGCCCTACACGCCGCCCGCTCACCGGCTGCGCCTCTGCATGCGCACATGCAACAATGCATGCACGCGCAACCACCCCCACAAGCAGTCTCTGGCCCTGTAATGAATTCCTTCCATTTCTTTTCAAAACCCCGGCTTTCAAACACAACAGCGTACGCTCTGGAGGCCATCCCCTATGACGTCAGCGAATTAGTCGTGGTCGGCAACCTCAACGACGGCCGCGCGGCGGCCGAGGCGGCGGCGGCGCGCGGCGGCGGCGGCGGCGTGATGGCGGCGCTTGCGCTCAGCGTGCCGCAGGCTGCATGGGATGTGAGGGCTCCGCGGGCGCGCGCGCGTGTGCCTGCTGCATGCGAATCTACGGCGAGCGGGGCGGCGGCGGGGCCGACGCGTGTCCTCGTCCTGCAGCCGGGGCTGCGCTGCGCATCGCCGCCTATGATAGGGCTGCTTTCTTCGCTTGCCACGGCATCGGCCGAGCACACCCCCCCTCCTCCGGGCGCTGACACCGCTGATGTCACTGACCCGCAGGTCGGCGTGGGCGCCGTGGCCGGCGCCGCGGCGGTGGTCGCGTCGATGCCCTTTGACGTCGTGAAGACCTACATGCAGGTGCAGTGGAAGAGGGGCGCGCGCATGCGTGTGCGCTCGCACGTGCGCGTGCGTGCGCATGTGTGCTGCATGCGTGCTGCATGCGTGCTGTGCACCGTTTGCGTGCGAGCGTGCCACGAACGCCACAGCTTTGAACCGAGCTCCTGTTCTTGAGGTGCTGACGTGCGGCATGGGGCAGGTGCTGCATGCACGTGACGTCACTAGTCAGCGCAGAGGGCGGCGGCGGTGGGGACGCTGCGCTCGTGGAGCGGCTTGACACACCGTCACAGCCGCAAAGCAGTGGCAGCAATCAGTTGAACCTCACTTCACCCCCTCTCACACCACACACACACGCGCACCCGCACAATCCCACGTGCACATACACTGCAGGTCAACCCCTCTTGCAGCGGCGGCCTTGGCGGGTTTGCGGCGACCGCGCGGCAGCTGGTGGCGCAGGGCGGCCCCGGCGCGCTGTGGCTGGGGCTGGCGCCGCGCTTGGCCCACCAGGTGTGCCAGCCTTGTGAACGCCGAATTCGAATTTGAACTTTTTTCCCGCCGAAGCTTCGGACGCGCAGCCGCATCCCCTGTGGGCGAGGCGCGTCCCCGGGACGCTCCCCGGCCCAGTGCCATTCCAGACCCGCTAGCCAGTGCTGCCGCCCGTGACGCGCGCGGCTGCCCGGCGACCCGCCTGACAAGATTCCCCAGTCCTGAGTGTTGCGTGTTGCTGACGCCTCGCGCCCCGCCCCGCGCCGCGCCTCTCGCCGCACGCACCTGATTGCGCGCCGCCCCAGGTCCCGGGCGCCTGCATCTGCTGGTGGGCCATCCATGCAGTCCAGCGACACATGATGACTCACCACTACGACACAGGGGCCGACGGCGGCGGCCACCAGGGCCACTGATAGAGGCAGGGGACGAGATATTTTTTTTTGGAGCTTGTTGTTGGGGCACAAATCAGAACAAGCCGGCCGCCGCGCGTGCGGACGGCAGGCGTTGCTTCGGGCTCGACACATACTCTTGTTTCACTGGGCCAGCAGGCTGTGTCTGTTCATACAGAGTTGTGCAAATACAGTGTGTGCCATCGATTGCAATAACGGCTCGATGCGGGAGTTTTTGTCAACACATCAGTCAACCACCGACGGGTGACGCACACTGAGAGTGTCATTTGGCCGACGGCCGTGAGTCGGCGAGCGCTGCGCGTCACTGCATCCGTATGCAGACCTTTTACGCACCACCAGCTGCCATGCCCCATCAATCTGCCGCCGAGCCAGCCCGCTGGACGGGCGGAGCCACCTGTGCGCTCCCAGGCGGCGTGCACCAGTGTTGAAATTCGGCTTGCCGCCCCCTCTATTTGCGGCGAGTCTCGGTGTTTTCTGCTTTGTTGATACGCGGCGCCTCCGATTCTTTGCTCGGGTGCGTGCTGAGCTACTTGTGCACTCGCCTTAGCACAGATGTAATTGTATGACCAGCTGCTGCAGGCATTGTTGTGCGGTGCACAGGCGAACCAGACAGGGAGCATGGGCGGGGTGGCACAAGGTCGTGCGCTGCAAACATGAGGGAGCGCTCTGCTCACTGAGTTGGGTGTGGTTTGGAACTGAGGGCTTTCCACGCCCGCACTTGTCTTATGGACAAGATCAAGCCTTACCCACCCTTGCCTTGTATGAATCCATGCCCATGCTGCCTCGCTTGCCTGCACAGCAGCTGCCCCGCCCGGGGGGGAGGGGGGGGAGCTGCACCCCCCCAGCTTCCCGTCGTCTTCGTCTCCCTGCAGCCCTCGATTGCCGTCTGCCCGGCCAAGAGCGCCCCCACCTCTGCCATTGCAGCGACACGCCCAGACAGAACCGTTCTTACAGGCTGCGCGCTCGCAAGAACCAGGAGTGAGGGAGGGAGCTGGTAGGGTGGCCCCAAGGGTGGCGGCCAGATGGGGCCCGGGATCGCATGCCGTGGGGCGCTCGTATGAGGCGGTTTCGCGCAGTGCATCTCTACAGCGGCCGCGCTTGCGCTTGCCAATCCGGGATAGCGACGCCGCGCCGACCCAGTGTGTCTCTCGTGCGAACGGGGCGGGCCCAGGGCACGGGCGGCCCGCAGCGCCGGCTTGGAGCCCTCAGCGTGCCACCCCTGCCTGTTTGTGTGCAGCAGCCAATCAAAAAGGCTCGCTAGCACAGCCATGCACCGCGCCCAAGAAAAAAAATGAAGCAGCACCATTTTCACCCATATGGCGGGGAAAAACGTGCCCTGCAACCCCCATCGCCTGCGGCGCTCCTCGCGCGCTATTGCGCGCGCGAGGGTCCGTCATGCAGTGCCGCCACCCGCTGTCTCGAGCCCAAACTCGTTCACACAACCGCCGCCTGCTGCTGCTCCGCCTGCTGCTGCTGCTGCTGCGCCGCCTTGTGCAGGGCGGGGGCGGCCTTGAGGATGGTGTAGGCGCACTGGCGGCCAGACAGGGTCGCGCCCTCCATAGAGTCAATGTAGTCCTGAGGAAAGGAGGGTTTTAGGAGGGTTTTCAGGGGTAGAGGGGTTTTAGGGGTTTTGACAAGGTGGGTTTGACCAGCAGTTTCATGGGCAGTGGGGGGGACTGAGGGTGCTGCTGCGGCAACACTGCATGAACAGGAGGCAAGTCGGACACGCAATCGGTTTCGAAGTCTGTGGCGGCGGTTTGCTGATGCTCACAGCGTGGGAGGTTGAGGTGCCTGCCGCGCTGCCGCCGCCCGCGACGCTCACGCGCCCCAAGCGCCCTGAATCCGTCATCAACAAGCTCCTCAACCCAAACAAGAAATGAGACTGGCGCCGCGTGCAAACAGCGGGCCCGCACCTGCTTGGTGTAGCTGCCAGCGAGGAAGAAGTTGGGGATGGGCGTGGCCTGGTCGGGGCGGAAGAGGTCCATGCCCGGCGCCTCCCTGTAGAGGGACTGCGCGATCTTCACGATGGAGTGCCACTTGAGCTTGAGGCCGCGCGCGCTGGGGAACAGCAGGCGCACCTGG